TTGTTTGGTTGTTTGTTTATTTGTTTTATCCTCACCCAAGGATATTTTTATTGATTTTAGAGAGAGAGGAAGGGGGAAAGAGAGAGAGAGAGAAACACTGATGTGAAAGAGAACCATCGATTGATTGCCTCCCACATGTGCCCCAACCAGGGACCAAACCCACAACCTAGGCATATATACCCTGACCAGGGATCAAACATGCAACCTTTTGGTGTACAGGACAATGCTCCAACCAACTGAGCCACCTGGCCAGAGTCAGGACAGTGATTTGATAATATCAAATGCTTACATAGTATTTGGTATGTGCCAGGCATTTTTCTAAGCCCTTTACAAAGATTAATTCATTTAGTATTTATAAGTCTATGAGATAAGTACTATTATAATTCTCATTTTATATATGTAAAAAATAGGACATGGAAAGATTAAATAACCTTCACAAGATTGCACAGCTGGCGAGTGACAGCCTAACTCCAGACAGCCTGGCCCTGGTGGCAGTGATGTTTCACGCACATGCTGCATCTTTGGGAGGGACCCGGCTGTTACTTGTGACCCAGGCTCATGACATTTGTGGTCACTTTTACTGGAGAAGGGGAAGAAGAATAAAAGAAAAATACCATTCTCTGTGACCTTAGGCAAGACATGTAATTTTTCTGTGTCCTTAATGTCACATTTAGTACTTTGTTTTAGCTTCAAGAAAATAATAAAATTTCACTTTTCTTTAGAGCATTAGAGACCCTGTAGGAAATGATGTCATTTAAATACCACATTGTGATATTATTAACAATCTTTTTTATTTACATAAGTAAAACTTTGCATATTGTATCTGAACAAATTAATAGAGTGTCTGTGGAGCGCATTAGAATGGCTTCTCTCCTCAAAAGCCATTAACCCGAGCCTAACTCTTCAAGTCCCATTGAATTCTCAATGCATTTTCTAATTTTTAAATCTAGGAACAAAACTCTGATACTGCAGGTAATTAAATTCATTCTGAGGAAAGTGTATATGCAGGTGGTATTGCTAGCCTTTGAACAGAATGCTAGTAGCAGACTATGGGAAGTTCTGTGAGTTACTCTGAGCACTGAATGAACACTGACCTATTTCAAATAACTCTGTGACTCATCTAAAAAGCTCCAGGTCACAAGCAGAGCATATAAAAGGAGACATAAATGCCATAGTATAAAAAAATTCCCGCACTTTAATGACTATACTTCCAATTTTAGGCATAACAAAAATAGCATTGGTATATGGAGCCACAAACCAACAGCTTCCATAAATAGGCACCCTTTGTCAAAGGCCAAATTCTAAAACCAAAATTTTACATGACCATGTTTTGATGTCAAGAAATTCCCAATTACTATTATAATGCCATAAAAAGAAAACTAAATTGGGCTTATTTCTATTTTTACTGGTGATTAAATATCACAATCAAGATTTTTAAATTATTCCAGTGTTTTGCACAAAAAAAAAGTGAGGGGGAGCTCAGAAAGCAATAATTTCAAGAAAGCAAGCTTCTCAATATCTTTCAGAATAATGGCCACAAAATAAAAAAGGGTTCTTGGAGCAAGAGTAAGCCTTTGTGCCAAACACCAAGTTTCTAGTTCAGCACAGCAAACCTTGGGAAAAGTCAGAAGCAAATACAATCTCCCATGCACTGAATGCACTTTGCCATTGTCCTCACTTACCAGTCATTTACTTATCTCCTCCAAATTTGCCTAATTTCTTTCAGATGTTCTCTATATCACAAAAGGAAAATCAGTTCCCTACTACAAATACACTGGAATGTTTACCTCCAATGCCGATGACCAGGAAACTGAAAGACATATTTATAGGTTACAATCAGGAAAAGCAGCACCATGCAGGGAAGGTTGAAATCAATAGACTCAACTCAAGTTATGTGACTTTGCACAAATCATTTAACTTCTTGGAGCCACAGTTTTCTCCTCTGCAAAATGGGAAAGGTGCTTGACTCACAGAGTGTTTCAAAGATAAAATGAGATTATCACTGGTGTCATAGACCATTATGTGCTATGCACAAGCCACATATTATGCAGGATTTTCCCAAAACAACGTTATTAAAATCTTTAGGCAGAAAACATGAGATCTAATATCTGCTATTTCTTTGTCAAAAGGGGGAGATTTGCAGATGTTGGGGAGTAAAGGCAAAGAGGCATTGGAAATACAATTTTCCTCTTAATGCAATCAGAAGGATGGAAAAAACTGAACCAGCAATAACAGTTATTAATGTTTACTGAGTATAACCAGTGCTTTAGAAGAACCAAATCACCTTTGTTGCACCCAAAACTGTCTCTGGTCCATAAGAGACAGGCATCCCCCACTTTGGAAAACAACTAACCTAGAGAATTCTTCTACTTCTGGAAGCAGAATTCCATGGTTCTTGTTGCTAAATGATTTATCCAAAACCACTTTAGTCAGCTGCAACACTGTGCTAAAAGTATAAGATTCTTAGTGTCTTCCATCTCCTAACCACTGAAGCCCACAATTAGCTAAGTTACACATCATTCCTCAATTTTTATAAAATGACAGTCTGGATCCAAGCAACAAGTAGATCCTTCAGACAGTTAATGACCTCAGGGAACTGGGATTTTATTACAGATGCTTAGCAATGGAAAACAAATTTTGACTTGTTATAAAAATTAAACACCTGCAGATGAATGATTGGATCTATCAAGTGACTAATCAGAAGGGTCTTTTCTATTGTTAATCATGTACAACATCTAGGTACACTTGATATTGCAGAATTCTCTAGACGTATCCGTATGGGTTATTTGTCAACTAGACACAGGCTCAGATATGAGTGCTCAGGCTCTGACTCTTCAAGAAAATTTATTGGCAACACAAAAGTAATCATGTCACTTTCCAACTTAAATCCTTCAATGGCTTATCACTGGGAGTGGTGGGGAGATGAAATCTGAGATCTCTAACACTAACCCATAATTTCCCCTATTATCTTACCGTTGCTCACCCCTTCTGTGGCCCCATCCTGTTCCACTTTTTCTTTTGCTTTCTATGATCCGGGCATACTGGCCTTTTATTTTCTCTAAACTAGGCCTGTTCATGCACTTTTGTCTGCTGAGAATGCTCTAAACAAGCCCCACCACCCCGTGACAATGCTAATGCTCATTTATTCCTCAAGTCTTGGATAAAACAGCACTTCCTCAGTGGAATCTTCCCTGAGCTCTCTAGATTAGATTCTATTCAACCATCACAAGCTTCTCTACTTCTTTTTACCACTGTCAATCACAGTTGAATTGCTGGCTCTCGTCTTTCTATTCTACTGGTGTGTAAGCTCCTTGAAGTCTGGAAGTATACACATCTCATCTATCCCTGTTGCCATGGCATGCACCACAGTATCTGGCATTAAACAGATATCACTAGACAATTGCTGAATGACTGAATGAATAAATGAATGAATGAATGAATGGTTTTAGATTGGTCAACACCCTAGACCACACAGTCCTCCAGAATAGTAATTTAAGATGATCTGGTATCACTTTTCAACCTTATCTGGCCCATCCTCTTTTTCTAAATGTGTATGTTCATGATATCAGTCTTCCTGAGGGGCAGAGGAATAACCCAGTCCACTACTAAATTGAGTGATATTCCAGGGTCCTTTGTATAATTCTGTCACAAGGAATGCACCCTCCTCAAACCTGGGCCATCATAATGTCCAACCTAGGGGGCCCAGGTGAATCCTCACACAATCCTGGAGCACACAGCAGGCTACTAATATGAACATATTCTCAAGCCTCCCATCTTGCTTTCTTTTAAGCAACAAAATTTGTCATGCCTTTATGTTAAAGGGAATTTTATTATTTCCTGCTCAAATAGCCACAGCGAAGAACAGAGGCAGTGGTGCAGTGCAACAGGTGTAATACAAGGCAGTGTGGTGTAGTGGGAAGGGCACTGGACAAGGAATCGGAAGAACTAGGTTCTTCCCTGACTCTGCCACTTATATGCTGAGTAACCATAAGCATCTGGCTCTTTTTGGATAAAATATCCTTCCCTCTTCAACTGTATAAATCTTTTGGCTATAGGGTTCTTGTAAGCACCAAATGACATAATAATGATATTATACTATTGCGTGTAGGAGTTCCTGATACTTCAATTATTTTTAAAAAGTATAAACTTTAACATACTAGGCAAGTTATTATAATTTTGTCACTGGTTCTCAAAAAAAGTTTTATCTTCCTGATTTTGGACATCACCTGTTAAATAAAGTAAATTTTTATTCCCAGTCATTTAATGTCTGGTAGAAATAGCCCAGTCTTTTCTCACCAGGCTAGTGAGAGGGGAGTTAAACTTAGTTACCATTGGTCTATATTTAAGAGATAATAGAGCATTAATTGGCTATGATGCACCTCCCTTGCTTTTATTAATTCTTCTATAGGGTAAAAACTGTCTTTTAATAAAGTAGTTAATATGAGACCTCCTTGGGGTCAGGACCTTACTAGCTGTAACACACAAAATCTTGACACAAATAATGATGACCCGAATCATAGGCCAGATAAGCTACCACCAACTTGAAATGATTTAGAGGAGACATAATTTCTATTTTTCCTTATCAATGCTCAAAAATCCATTACTGAGATATGACCTTTGTTTTATAATTACAGATAAAGTTGAAATTTAAATCTTTAGATAGTAATATAGTAAATTTTTACCAAAATGCTGATTAATTAAAGGCATTTTTTATCATAGCATTTGAGGGTGAGGGAATTAAACATATCCCATATAAAAGAAAGAAAAAGAAAAAAAAGAACCAAATCCCTCATTTAGGGTCTGAGACATTAAAATGGATTGATTTTTAAATGCACTGTTCTTTTTTTAATTATCCCAGTCAAAATAACTATTGTGAGAAAAATACAGAAAGTAATGCCTGTCTCAGTAGTCATAATGCTTCCTTATGTTCTCATATTTCTCAGTAATATGCACTGAATAAGAGCTGGGGTGACTTGTTTTGACATTGTTTTTAATTGCAGACTTATAAATGAGTCTTTGCGGGACCAGCTGTTGGTAACCATCCAGAAGACTTTCACATACACTCGAACCCAGGCCCAGCATCTGTTCATCATCCTCATGGAGTGCATGAAGAAGAAGGAATTGGTATGTAAGCACTGCTCCCTATGAGTGGCAGAGCTCTCTCCATGCTCCCTGTTCTATTTAACCATTGAGTCACACACTTTTCTCTTACCAGCCAAGCTTACAACCTTCCACAAGCCCCACTGGCTTCTATAGTTTCCTCTCCTCAGTAGCTAAGACACTGCTTTTCCTGCCCTAATTTAATGAACTGTGTGAGGCAGGGTTTTAGTGTCATTTCCTATTGAAGTTCACCACCCAAATGAGATAAAGCCAGTTTCCTCCCTAGAAATGCTTCAGTTGATCCTCTCCTAGGTTTGGGGTTTCACTGTGCTTGTGAGTAGTGAGTCACTGATGTGCTTATTGTCAGATATCTTAGTGACACAGGGTCCAGGCCAATATGCCAAGCTGTACAGGTAGAAAATGGAGGAATGAAACCAAGGAATGCTGGAAATTTCTGTAGTTTCCTAAGTGTCCCCCAAAAGCTACTGACATTCCCTGTGTCTGGGAAATGTCTTACAGAATCTGGTATAGTCACAGAGACCTTCTGTTAGGTGAACGGAAATAAAAAATGCACTAACGTGTAACAAGCACTTGCAATGTGCCAGGCAGGATGCTAAGTCTCTGCAGGTCCTGACTCCTGTGATGTTTGCTACCATCCCAATGAGAGAGGTTTGATTATTGCTTTTACCTTAAAGACAAAGAAATTCAAGATCACTTGATTAGCAAATGAGGAACTAAGGCTCAAAACAAGTGGTGTTTAATGTCTGTTGGAAATATTTTTATTTAGAAATGGTCTCACAGAAGCCAGTGTAGTGAGCTAGCCCACTCTGGGTAGATTCTCCAGAGGCCCCAGCGGTCAGGGACTATTCTCAAAGGCATATGAGCCCACCTGCTGACAGGGGAGGTAAGGAGAACTTTAAACCCTACCAGTGGTTTGACTCAGGTTTTAGACACTCTCCAGTGGAGGTAATCATCCTGGAATGATTACCTCTGGGGCATCAGGGGGGCCTTCTTTTCCAGAGGGTCACCAGGGCCAGACCCTAAAAGGCTCAACTACAGGGATGTAGACAGAGTGGGAGGGACCTTCACCGAGTTTCCCCACTAGACTGTGAGTACCTCAAGAGTACTTGAGGTACTCACAGGTTCCTCAAGTACCTGTGAGCTGGAACTGTCTTGCTCAGCACAGTGTCCCTATACCTAGGACAGTGGCTAGTGCACACTGGGCTCACTGAGACTGCCAGGAGAGAGGGTGGGAGGCAATTTCTGAGTTTGAGAAACCAAATGTTTAGAAAAGGGGGGTTTGATTCAAGTAAGCAAGAGCCATCTCTGGAAAACATCCACGAGATCTTTGTGAGAAGCTCTCAACACCTTCCAGGTTCAGGTGAAAGGAGTGGAAGTGAGGAGGATGGGACAACACCTCTAACCCTTGAGTGATCATAGACCTCAGCAGCCTGTCCCTGCTGCACAGAGAAGCCAACGTGCAGATGGGATTCCCAATCATGACCCAGGAGAGCATCTGTCATCGACCCAGAGAGTGCCCCTGGCATTCCCCCATCTAGGCCATCTAGGAGGTAATTAGCTCACAGCTGTTCAGCTCACCCCTGCCTCTGCTCCTAAGGAGACACAAGAAACCCTGAGCTTCCACATTGCACAGTATGGATTTTCTCCTGATTGAGTACTAATGATTTTCCAATGCTGAGGCCAATGCTAACTGTGAAAACTTATCAGAACTATACATTTCAGCAGTCCTGCAAATTTCTTAGGAAAGCAATTAGGATTAAAATTCTCTGAACCAGTTGGAAGTTATAAAACCAAATGAGGCTGAATGTGCTTCTCTGGGTATTTCATAGGAGTGTTCCCTGGGATTCTGCCTGATAATTTTCATGTCATTTAATTATGGTTCCTGTTGAAAAGGTCAACTGTACTCTAACATGAGATCTTTATTGCAAAATTTATGGGGTATGCCTAGCTGTAGGGTACGGCAATGTGATTTTAACAAGAAATAAATTGTCCTTATCTGCACATCTGGACAGAAATCAGTCAGGATTTCTTAATCATAAATGTAATTATAATAATTACCATTTTTGAGGGACAATTTATGTGCATGGACAGTACTAGATACCTAATAAAGGAGGGGGAGGTGAGGCACACATTACATTTCCATTGCAGGGAGCAGGGGTGGTACCTGAGGCTGGGCGAGGTAAGCGATGTGTGCACAGCAGGAACAGCTTCACTAGGACTGTCTTGCTCCAGAGCCCAGGTAGCTTCTACTCACCACGCCGCGCAGTGAGCACAGAAAACAAGGAAGCAGTGCCTAGTGGAGTTTCATTTAGCTCTTATCTTCTTCAAGTTTCCTTTGATTCCCTTTACAAACTAAGTGAGATATGACATTCTGAGGTCAGTCTAACCATTGCCAAGTTCAGCTAAGGGATTTGGTTCTGGAGTAAATCTGACATCTTTCTCATCCCAACATCCTCCTAATGTAATAAACAACTGCACTTTAGATGCATATTTAGATGGTGAACTATGGGCCTCTGGTCCACATAGCCTTGTGGAAAATATGCATTGGTGGACATTTTGTGTGAGTACATTCTATTTACTTCATATTGTTCTTGAAAAAAATCACTTCTCTGTTTACTTCCCACTTTGGGTCAAAACAACATCTCAAAACCTATCACCTTCTGAGAGCATATATCCCCCTAGGAACCAAACTGTGAGCTAAGTTTCATCGTTGTTATCCAGGAAAAAAATAAAAATCAAAGAGATAGAACTTTTCCACGGCAGCATATTAATTTGGGGGGCAAATGTAAGGGATCGGGAAGAAAGGGGTAGAGAGGCATTCCTCTTCCTTCCTCAAAGTTACTTTCTCATGGATTCCATGATATTAGACTCTCTAGATTCTCTATTTCCTCTCATTTTTCTTATACTTCTTTTTGTCTTTCCATTGATAGTTCCTCTTCTTCCTCCCTATTCTATAAATAGATATCTATCAAATATCAATTCTTGGCTCTTTCCCCTTGCATTCACTATTCTGACTTCAGTCATCATTTTGAGACAACTCCCAACAGCATGAATACCTAGCTAGCCTTGTCTTCCTCCAAGGTCCTGCTTTTCTGAATTCCACACAAGTGCAATAGACCTCCTATGCTCTTGAGGATAAAACCCTTCTTACAGCTGAAAGGGCTTTTTAAGCCAAGTAGCTGAAAATCATAGAGTCACATCTACAGTTTAGAAAACAGTTCTCTCCAACACAATGTTTGTGAAGAAATGGAAGTGTTCTTTGAAGGAGAATTTTACTAGCTACTTTAAGTTTATTTGACTATCATCTTAACATTAACAAAGTTCAAACTTTTTAAATGAGATGGTCGAAAGAGGATACAGAAAAAGTATTGCTCCATTAAAACTGTTTTCCATATTACTTTTCAGTTTACAGCGGGTTGCAGATTAAGTTCTGCAAGTTCTGAAACTCTTTTAGATGATTGAGTATCACAGTTCTAACAATAAGAATGATGCAGGCTTTGAAGTCAGTTTAATACAGAACAATGGAAAAGTTAGTGAATCTCTAGAGGCCTTTGTTTTGTCTTCTGGAAAGTTGACATAATAATAGTATTTATATTATTTGGGCTAATTATTCAATTAAATGAGTTAACATATGCAAAGAACATAGAAAACACTCAGTAAATACTTTTATTTTAACAGTGATGGTGATGTCTATATAGTATTTTATATTTAACAAAGATTATTTTCATATCATTGTATTTGACACTACAACCAGTTGTGCTAACATCAGTATTAGTATCACCATTTTACAGAGGGAAATCAAAACTCAAAAAGACTTAAGTGATAAGCCCATGGCTTGAACCCAAAGCATCTTTCCATAAGTCCTGGCCTCTTTTTACCATATTTCAGCTGATTTCATATTCTAAATGTTAGGTATAACCAAGTTTAAAATGACTTTAGGTAGAAGCCCATTCCCTCTCTTATTCCCAGAGGAATCTAAACAAGTGTTCATTAGACTTTGAGATTCCTGGAAGAGAAAAAAAAAAATACATTGTTGGTTGCTATTCCTGGGTCTGCCCCTGTGTGGCAGTCATTATATTTCTATGAGGACAATGTAAGCACTATATCCAGGTCACTTGGTATTTCTATAGCAAAGGCAAACTAAAATTATTCTTCCCATTATAATATTTCATTGTTCACTAGAAGTCAAAAATTAGGCATCAACTTATGTCCTCTTCACAAAATATTCATTGAAATAAAACAAGAATTTGAAGGAAATATCATTTATACAATTTCTTGCTAGGACAGCTTCTAATACTAATAACAACTTTTATCTTATGATGTATGAAGTATGATAATGCCTCGTGTGGACAAAGTTCTGTTGCATTCCTTGTGCTATTTAAGCTGCACAACAATGGGGCAAGAATTACATCTGTTTTTTAGCTAACAAGAAAAATTAAACAAATTGGAGAAGACTCCAGAAGTATACAGAAAATGCCCATTTGATTTTCAACTCCACTATCCAGATCTCAGATTCTCTCTCATAACCAATACAACTTCATAAAATTTTAATGCTTTTGACCTTTTCCAACCATAATCATGAAAAATATCAGTAGATTAGAGGCAATAGAAAAACATAGAAAATACTGTACTCTTTTTCATTGGGAAAAATAAAATAATATCATAAATGAAATATAAATAATATACAAAATAAACATTATAGTGTTATTTTATTTGCTTTAAGAGCTTACTTGCTATATGATTTACATGAACATTGTTTTGAGTTCCAACTCTAGGGAGATATTTCTACAGACTGGAGGGATCCCACTCTGTGTTCCCACTCTGCCTCCTGCATCCATGGCCTTACCATGCCCAATTGGTCTTTGCTTGGTCTCACAGCCCCTCTCTTCTCCATTCCAACCAACAAACAACTGCTGAGTGACTCCTTTTAAGGAGCAGCTCTCATAATGAAACCCCCATTGTCTTCACTAGTGTTTCCCAAAGTGAGAAAAGCTGATTGCAAA